TCTCACAATCCTGAGATATAATTATTACTTTTCTCATCTTCGATATCCTAATTCTACCCTTCTGAGGTCTAGGTCAGGTAGCATGTTCTCTCTAAACAACATATATGATTGCTATGAAGAATCGATGAGCAGTGTGCTTGTGTGTGTGTGTGTGTGTGTGTGTGTGTGTGTGTGCGTATTTTAGCTCAGTGCATGGCACACAGTAGGTACTCGATTAATTTCTTATCTTGCTTTTGTCTCCACAATGACAAAACAGTCACATTAATCTCTTTTCTGGTCTCCAGTAATATTTGACTGTGATTTAAAAACTTAGTAATTGTTTTTTATGGCCATATTTTTCTGAATGTCCTCCACCAATTTTACGTGTACTGAAGACTGGGACCAAATCTTCCTTTTATTCTTATTTACCACAGTTTCTAAACAAGGGCTGAACCCATAATAGGTGGTCAATGGATATGAAGAGTGTAAGCTTTATAAAGGAGAGTCAACATAATGTAGTTTATAAATCACATGGTGTTTAATCTTATTACTCCAATGTAGTATTCATGTGGTTTGTAAAATACTTATTCTTCAGTTTCCTTATTTAAAAATGGGGTCAAAATCTTTACCCTGCCTTCCTTCATGCATTCCTCTAAGAAGACAATTGAGTAAATGTGAAGGACCATGCAAATAGTGAAGCCATACAGCATGTTGGCTCAGTTTCCCCTTTAGTTGCAATTTAGCAAGTTCATAATGAAAAATGCACAACAGAAAGAGCAATTTTTCTCCAGCAGACCATCCTGATGACAAACGTGTGAGTTTTTTTCTTTTCTACAAGCCCAGCAAATTTCAGGCTGCTATGATATTCAGAATACCAGTTCTTTATGCATTATAAGGATTAAAACTTGCTTATATACCATATGAATAATTAGACAATTTCAAATCACTGAAAAATAATGGCTGACTACAGTCCTCCATTAAGACTGTGGTTTGGGGCCCCCTTGCAATGCTCAGGTGCTATTGAGACATCCTGAGAGGAATAAGAGGTTCTTGCAGACCTCTGATCAACATAAACAATTGCGTCAAACACAATCCTAAGAGCTTTTATTTGATAACAGGACGGTTATTTAAGGTCAAAGCTTATAATGACTTGTTTCTTTACTGTAACCTCTGCTTAACCAATCTAGATTGAATGTAAAATCCACTATTAGCTATTCAATCTCTGCTCTACGCAGCTGCCAGAATTATCTTCCTTAGAAGCAAATCTGAATCACATGGAGACCTGCTGCACTCAAAAGACAACTCAAATTCTATAGCTCAGAAATCAGTGTCTTTTACAATGTGTTGAATAAATTTTAAACGAAGGCAGCAGAGGCCTCATTGTAAAAGACACTGATTTCTGAGCTATAGAATTTGAGTTGTCTACTATGCACCCTCCCTGTGATTTACCTCCCTGTGCTGTCCAGACCACTGTTTCCTCAGTGTTCCTGAAACACACACTAAACTCTTCTGACTTTCTGTCTCTGCTTGACCTGCTTGCTCTGTCTGGAATGCAGTTTCTTCTAGGTACCTGGCAAAATCCAGCTTATTCAGGTTCATTTTAAACACTGACACCTTCTGCCAGCAGTATGCACATAGTCCTACAGTAACAGCTCTGTTATAGCACATCACTAGCCCATCCTGCAGTTTCTCCCCTTAAGTTGTGCTCATGTATAGGTAAAGGGCTATGTCTTCTATTTGGATCCTCCATTACACTTAGCTGTAGAACTAAATTGAATTAAAATCTTAAGAATAGCCTCACTAATTTGTCGCATTCATCTTATTTATATAGTCTGCCAAAATAGTGATTTGGGTGAATTGGCTCCAATGTTTATGGACTAATGCTTGTCCCGTTTCAATGGTGACTTCAGTAATGGGTTCACTCCAAATTAGTCAAATTGTTGGGTTTAAAAAACATGGCCTAAGGAAAAAGGGCAAGATAAATAGTAGAAGCATTTTCATTATGGATGTTTAATTTTCAATTTGAAAGCAATGCCATTATTTTTTTTTAAACTGATGGGATTATATATTTATTTACTCTCTTGAAATGTAGTCCCAAAGCAATAGTCTATTTAAAACATAACAGTGAACATTGTATATAGATGTCATAAACACTACATATAAAATTTGACTACAGCGTTATCTACAAACTGTAGATGGCTCATGTATACAAGATAACAGTATATATAGCTGGTTGAAAACTAAGAAAAATTATTAAGTCATATTTTGGCATCTACAAGATATTAAATATCAAACCCATGGTATCTTTTTCCCCGTCACCCAAACACTGGGTTAATTTATTTTATCTTATGCTGTAGATATGTGTTTTTCCTTTGATTTACCTCCAATCATCCACTGGCAGGGTTTGGTCTCAGGGTGGTTAACCTAAAGAGTTCTCCAATCAAAGGACACTTTATTCCTGCCAAAATCCCTGAATCCCATCTGATTTTTTACTCTACTGAGATAGGCTACACACTTAAGGTGAGGTGATACCTTAAGGTCCCTTCAATAATGCCCCTTTGAAACATCAGAGCAGGCCTTAGGCCATCTCACTTGGCTCTATTCTGAGCCCTGTCCTGCTTCTCTGACTCCTAGCCTTTCCTTGGCCTCCTAAACAGAAGGTATCCATGAGCCTAGAGGGCTTCCCAAATCTCCCTCCTTTAAAACATTTTTATTTCTCTTCCTAAAACATATTATTTTCCAGACATATTTCACATGGAGAAAAGGGCAAAATATTATTCTTTCTTCCCCTTGCCTTTTCATAGTCATACAATGGTATTCTCGCCAGTGTATGTCCTCAATGCCAGTTGGACCCAATCAGTGTTTGAAGTAATTTGAAAACAATAATAGATGGTGTCTCTTACACTTTACAGTTTTGAAGCTTCCACATATTTTTAAGTACATACATATTTCTATAAATTATTGCAAATATTCTAAACATATATTTTGCTTTATGCTTTAAAGCTAAATGTTCTTCTCACTTCTCAGTATGATAATTCACTTTGTTCTTTTCTCTTAGAGTTTATCATCACTGTCTCCAATCCACAGCCTAAATTTAACATGGCTTGTGACTATATGGGATTGCATGAAGTAAGAGGTAAATTTTGCACTTTCAAGGGGCAAGAATAGCATATATGCAAAGAGAGATACAGCATGTGTTATTAGCCGCCAACCTTATGAAAAACATTAAAGTATTTATTGATACAAATGAATGACATCAACCTAAAGTGGTAATGTCTAAGAGACAAAAACAAGAATTGATAACTTCACCAGGTCCATTAATTTCTCTATTATATTTTAAAATAAAGAGGGGCACTTACTTGTAAAAAAGAAGTCCATTTTTTCATTTTAGGATTTTTTTTTTTTTACTTTATATATCTGTTCACTCAAAATGGATGTTTACAGACAATCCTAAGAAGATATATTTTTGATAGTATATTTTATGTTGTCAAAATGTAATTTTTAAATTATATTTTCCTGGTTCTGTTTTACATCATTTATGTTATAAAATTTGTAGGAAGAAATTATCAACCCAAGGTAAAGGAAGAAGGAAAACCACAAAACAGAGGAAAATGAGTTTAATTTAACATGATCTAAATATTTTGAATATAACTTAGCCATTAATAATCAAAATAACTTCATTTAATGAGATGGTAAACAATGCACGTGGTAAGTTAATTATTTCTTATTTATATAGTCTCTCATTAATTCTAAAATAAATCAAGATGAAAGGAATAATTTGGAAGAAAGTGTTTAATATTTATTACATTGGTAAATCCAACAAAGAGAGCTCATTTTTACTCTTCTGCTAATATAAATTTACCAAAGTCTAAAGTGAGAAGGTATCTTAGAAATTATCTGATCCAATTTTTTCACTTTATTTCTTTATGATATTAATGCCCAGGCAAATCAAGTGATGGCTTTATGTTACTCAGCTGATTAGGGCTTGAGCTGAGACTCGATCCAGAGAATTCCAGATTTTGGATTCAGGGCTTTTTTTCCCTTTATCAGATAACATTTAAAATAAAATCTAATTGAAAGGGAGTTTAAATGTTTGGGCTCACTATAGCTATGGTTTCCCAGTGCTTCTCAAAATATTTAGAGAAGAATAAACTGATATTAGTAAGTTTGTGACAGCATTTTAAATTGAATTTGTAGGCAAAAATTGTATTTGGATCCATCTCTCTTTAGGCAATATAGAAGGAAGATTCCAGCCAAAATCTCTCTTTTTCTGCCACCCCAGTTCCATCTGTCTTTCTCCTTCTCCCTGTCATTATGTTACTCTTTTACATTTTAAAGAAGTGAGTAGGGGACAGGGCCTCTTTTTACTTCTTTATAAAGTTAAGACAGTGTAATGGTTCTATAGAACTTGGTTCAAAAGATTTCCCACTGGATTTGATTGATTGCCATATAAATACATAATATTAAAGAAGATATTGAAAAGAAAAGATGTGATGGACAAGAAACAAGTATGTCTGTAAATGCTGACTTAAGGCTAATGTGCATTTATGACTGTGTGTTGCATGTTTAATCTCTATAGCTTGTGAGAAATTAAAGAATCTCCAAAAATTATTGTTTCTTGAGGAGTAGGACAGGCAGGTTTCATTTATTTATTACAACAATGCTTTAAATAATGCAATACCCACTTTATGTAGCAACATAACTTCTGAGCAGTATTGTGTAAATATTGAAAATACTAATCAAATAAATAAAAGTGGCAAAGAAATAAGATCCACATAATGAAGTATTTTCAATTTCTTTCAGGGTGTTTTAAAATGATTACATATTACTTTCAGTTTGACATAACATGAATAATGAAAGAAAATAATTGTTTTTATCGCATTGATTTTTTTCCTATTTTTGTTAGCGTGTCATAGATAAGACTTTTTATATTTGAGTCAAAATTTCTAAAATTATCATTAATTTTAGAACAATGATAGAACATTTTAGAATATTCAAAAAGTAAAAATGTATTCACTTACGGCCCTGATGCTTTCAAAATGTCCACCTTCTTTCTCGAAATCAATAGGCTGTCCTTTTAGAGTCCAGTAGAAAGTGACATCCAAACTAGCATCATGAATTGCCTTGCAGTTAAGAACAATGCTTTCCCCCACTGTTAACTCTGTTCTCTTAGGAGTAAGTTCTATCCTTGTAGGTTCTGTAGAAATAAAAGTACATTAATTAACATAATCAACACATTATGTTTCCCGGCATTCTATATAATTTTAAATAATAGAGAAAAACTTACACAAGGAATTTATACAATACAGTTGTTTCAGACACATATATCAGATTTTTCACATCTTTAAATAAGTTATTATTAAGTAAATTATTACCTTTTGGATGTTAGGGCATATTACTGTGCTTTTATAGGAGACTAGTAATTTAAGAGTCCTTGTTCCTATCAAGAAGTTAACTTGGACAAAAAGGATGAAAAACTATATAACTAGAAGTAGCGTTTAACATTCTGAAAGAAGGAACATTAGAAAAAATAAGATGTAGCCTCTCTGATCACTTTCAAGGATCACCAAGTAAAATAAAATGATTTTTTATGTTAAAAAATGCTCCTTATCTGAGAAGGAAGAATTTGGGTGGAATTCACTTTGTTAAAGGCTAGAAGAGGCTATAGAAAGAAAATGCCTTCCCTCAAATTACCATCTTAACAAGGACAAAAACATAATGCTACTTTGTATTTGCTCCACACTCTACAGAAACCTCTCATGAGTAGAAATGAATAGAAAAGGCATCTTCTGTTGATAATTAAATATCACTTTTGATAGACTGTAGATGGCTTAGTTGAGACATAAAAAGGTAAAAACACTGAATGGAAATGTTCTTTGAGAAAACAATGTTTATGCTTAACTACTTAATGATTCAGTTACGTTTTTAAAACAGACACATTTTTACTGGGTTTACAGCAATTTTGAACCAGTAAAGGCTAATAAAGGCTGTACATCTAGGGTTATTCAAGTTGATGATTGAATGACTATAATATGATGGATGGATTTTGAGTATAATAGGAAGGTGATAGAGACAGGCTTTTGGTTTTATCTTTTTTCCTAATTAGATTCCTGGGTGTAGATAGCTCAAGAAGATTGACACAGTGATTAACAATTAGCTTAATTTTCCTATTTTAGCTCTATTGTTTGCAATAGTGTAGTGTGATGAAGCACCACTCCCAACCACTAATCAGATCTTTAATATCTAATGTTCTTTTATGCAGCCACTGAGATGAAAATGCAATCCTAGCAAAGGAATGCAACTCTAAATAACATTTAGAGTTTAACATTTTAGAAGTCAGATATTCCATGTGGCATTCTTAGTTCTGACTTCATCAGAGAAAACAGATAACCATAGTATACTGTAGTTTAAATTGTGTGGCAATTGGACTATTGTGAGTAACTTAATATTCTATTTAATTAAAGATTAACAAAAAACATTTTTGTTATTATAAAGAAAAAAAACTGTGGATCCAGCATCTCCTCATTATAAAAAAAAAGACTGATGAACGTGCAAAGGAATAAAAGAAGGACTGGAAGATTGGATCAGATCCCAGTTATGTCTGATGTAAATGTAAACATCTTTTAAATTGCACTCTTTTCTTCCCTTGGTATTTGCCTGTTTTCTAAAATATCAGATGTGCTGGACATTTAAATTACATTTTTATTTCTAAAGACAGAAAAATGAATATTTCCATATATTTATTGTCAAACTATGATTTGCTATATAATACATGCACAATGAAAAACATATAAGAATATAGTTCAGTTGTAAAAAATATGTGAAGAGATTTTGCTGCCTAAAATATGAGATTTCTTTTTACTACTAAACAATTTAATTACATATAGTCCCCCAAATATTCCCGGCTTGAAATCTAGTTTACCCTATAAGTAGAAAATAACCAGAAATGTATAAGCATAATAAATAGGTAATATTTATTATACTAACAAATAAAGGTAAATAAAAATTTCCATTAATGCAAACATAAATGAGCAGTTCTGGTACCAGTTTATCTATGCACACCCCTGATATCCTCCTGCTACTTCTTTCTGTCCCAAATCCCACGTTGAATAGATAACAAAAGAATATTACTGATTGATGCTAAACTTATTTTTGGTAGAGGAAAAGGAATTTTTGTACCATTGGCATATTTTAAATTCTGAGACACCGATTATAACTTCAGAAAGAATTCTTTAGCCTCTCACAAATTTTGTTCAAAGCAAAATATTCAAATTTATGCCAATAAGAGATTCCTTCCTTTATGGTTTCCTAAATGACCTAAAGCCACAATTTGGCTGTATTAGGTCTATGTTTGCAAGGTATTTTATAGACAGGAGCATACACACACATAAGTGCAAACATACATGTATGAATATTAAATTTATTCTTTTTAGGATATGTCCATGAAATTATGCTTGTAAAACATTTAGCCACATTTTCTTACCTTTTACAGATACTGAAGCTATAATTTCAGCGGAACCAAAGACGTTTTCCCCTTGGCAAACGTACTTTCCCTCATCTGATTTAGAAGCATTTAGGATCCGTAGACTCCCGTCTGGAAGAATAGCTATTCTGAAAATTATTAAAAAAGGTTTTTTTTTCTTGTTTTACTGCAAATCAGCTAAATGGTAAGAAGCTCTGATGAAGTATGAAATCATTTCTAGGGTAATAATAAATAAGATAAAGGAGCTCTGTGAAAATATGCAGTGACAGTAGAAATGTTTTATCCTTCAAGAAATTATGCAATAAACCCATTTAATATCTTCTTATATTCTAAAGGGTTAGGGAGTTACAGATTATTTTTCTTTTGACAGTTTTTGACAGTTAATTTTAAAACTTGTGCAAAGGGTGACCCTGAATTTGGTTATTAAAATTTGTTGCTATGATATCACCAGTGGTATTTTAATATTAAGCTTGGGTATTTCACCTCAAACCAAGAGTGACCTCAAAAATCAAATATAAAAAGAAACAGCATTAAAACATAGGGGAGGACAAGTACAGAACATAAAATTAATTGTATACAGCTAAGAGATGATTTATGGCAGTTTTGTATATTGCCACCAGAGTAGCAAGGGTATGAACATGTGACCTGATATCTGGGCTGCTTGCATTGCACTTTTTAAACATGAGAATGTGATATGTAAGTTTGCATTTGGGCCTCTTCAAGACCTTTGTTAAAGTAGACCTTTTGAGTTTATGAAGGTGAAAAATTAAAGCATTATTAAAAATTTTTAGAAGTTCAGTGAAAATGAGGCTGTTTGGAATTACTATAGTCTCCTGTGTATTCATCACTCCAGGATTATACAGATTTCAAATTTAATTAGTACTTTTGTCCTTTTCTCCCTTCTATGCTCCTGAAATATAACCTATTATCTCACCAGTGCATCAACCTACTACAGCAACCTGAAATATAACAGACATAGCTGTTGTGGGTTTTTTGATATGCTGCTAGCTTTGGGTAAGAACCAGTGACCCCTCTGAATTTAAAGTCCTAAAATTAGATCCTTCTATTTCTGAGAACAGTTCATTTCATGGCAATATGATAACATAAAACTATTTCAGATTTAAGAATAATGCCTAAATGTTTACTCAACATTCTTTATGTTATTTTAAAATGTGTATTCAATCTTGCCAATCACCCAGAACTGACAATTGTTTAGAGCATTGAACTTCCTAACAGTTGATACTAGATTCTAGGCTGCTGAAATACTGCTTATGAATTCATGCTTACATATTGCCCTTAATAAAGATACCAGTTTAAAGACATCAGACGGTTTTCAATATGGATCAAATTTGATTTGCAATGTGTGAGAAGGAAGACAAATTTAGAAACAAGCCAAACTAGAAATAGAGAATTTGATTTTGTAATTTATGTCTAGGAGAGATACTAGCTTGAGATGTTTGGAAAACATAATGCTCTTAAAAGTTATGTAATCCATCCAAGATAGTCAATGAAAAGTTCTGTTCATTATTTAGATAATGTTCATTTTCTATAAAAATAAACTATGATGTATTTGTTCCATTTCAATCCCAAAGTTACATATGTTACAAAAAGATGTATTTGAAAGCAAAAATTATACTCTTTGTAAACAAGTAGACATCGTTATGATAATTACATATCATTAACATTTATCTAAATTACCATAATTCATACAGATTGTTAATATTTTTTAAATATCTGCATTTCACTGACTGGAGTAAATTCTAATCTAGCAGGTGAAGAGTTTGGCTTAAAAATTCACTTCCTTTAAAGAAATAAATGTGTCTTAGATACTGGCAGTATTACAGCTCTTAATTTAAGATGACTGCTTTCTTACTGACGGGAGGCAACGTATATTCTCCTCTTAAAGACAGTTTATGGACACCCCTGTACTTTAGGCCACTGATCCACTTGGGGATGAAAAATTTTGAATATCACAATGTTTTTTCATCTGTCAAGTGGCAGTGTCAATTAACTCAAATCCTGTCTACTGATTCAAATTGCAAATGCTTACCAGATGAGCTCATTTTTTAATTTAGGAAAGAATAATAGATTAGATAATGAATGTGATTTACATTATAATGTCTGGTTATTACACACATAATTACTTAGATAACTGAATATGGAATTAATAGTTCCTTGTGATACAGCTTTTTATCTACATTCTCCCTTCTATTACCATGTGGCTACTACAGTCTGGAATTTATAGATTTGAGGATGAATTCTGCCAAGACATCCTTGGAATTGGAGAAGAGCTATAAGGAAGAGGTGAGATGATGGTTTTAGGGGGTACGGAGAGATTTTAGAAATACAAACCAGCATTCTAGCATTCAGAATTAAGTCAGGCTTACTACATTCGTGTTTCTAGACTTCTCCATAAGTTTCTGCGTAGACCTTGAGATGTGTTGGTTCTCATTTTCCTCCTCATTACTGGATCTCTGCCTTATTATTCTGTCCAGTACCCCAGTCATCTAGGATATCACTGTGCTTACCCCTATTTTGCAGGGATTCTTTATTGACTTCTTGATGCCTATCTTGATTTCCAAACTTTAGGGCCATTTTCTGGACCCTCCATTTCCATATTTGGCTTACCTGTCAGACACTACGCTATCTAGTTTAGACCTCTCCAAGTACACTGCTTGCTTCAGTGTATCATTCATTTACCTTCTGCCATATTATTTAGTGATCATGCTCTGACTCCCAGGTTAGATTTTTATTTAAACGATAGAAATTTATTTTCTCAAAATTCTATGGACTGGAAAATCCAAAATCAAGTGCCAGCAAGGTTGGGTTGGGTTAAGGGATCTCTTCCTGGCTTGCAGTTTTCTGCCTTCTTTGTGTTTGCTTTGCTTTTCTTTGGTTGGTGTGTGTGGATTTGGTTGGCGGGTGGGGGTGGGGGGGAGCGAGCTAGGGTTTGGATTTGTTTTTCTTTTTCTTCCTCTTCTTTGATGCTACTGGTTTTGGCCGTTTGGTTCTTAGCTTTTTTACTTTTTTTTCCTTTAATTCCTAGCTGTCGTTGCTTTAGTTCTTTTAGGGCTTCATCATATGAATTTCGGAGGGACACAATTCAGTCTATAGCACCCACTACCCCTGCTTCCACACATCCTCGATTTAAGTTAGGGATCAATTTTCTCTTTATTTTCTTTTAATGTTTTAATGTTTTTGTCTGTTTTTGTTTTCTGAGTAATTCTGGCCTTGTATAATGAGTTGGGAAGTATCCTCTCCTATCCAAATCTCTGGAAGAGTTGGTGTAGGGTTGGCATTATTTTCTTCTTTAAACATTTGGTAGAATTCTCCAGTAAAGCCATCTGAGCCTGGAGTTTTCTTAGTGAGAAGGTTTTACACTACAAGTTCAATTTTTAAAAGAGACATAATGCTATTCAGGTTACCTACATCTTGAATGAGTTAATAAAATAATTTTAACATGGAGAATGTAATTTTAAGTAAGATATTTTAATTGTTAGTGTTTAAATAAATTATTTTTTCTTGGCTTTTGATTCTTTAGTTTTGTCTTAAACATGGATACGCTATGTTTAGTCTAATATGGTTATGATCTAGTAATAGGTCAATGATAGTATATCATCACCTCTTGTGTATATTCTGACACATTCAGATTTTATCATTATCAGACAACTAAATATCTCATTCAAGAATGCCACATTTCTTCTCACTGGCAAAGCTAGGCAAACTGCCTCATCTGAACTCAGAACACCAAGGAAGCACAATCTTAGCATGTTTCTGGAAGAAAAATGAGAAATGTCTGGTGACTAGCACTGATGATTACTGTATATCTTGTGCTATGCCAAACATGACAGATGTAAAGAATATTTGAAGGCACAATCTCTGTCTATAAAGTCATAAAAATTTAACTGTTCACAAAAGGAATACAGAATGATAGAATTATGTATCAGGCTATAATTCTTTTGCAGTTCAGAAGAAAAGATCAATAAATGCTGGAGAAGTTCAGTATTGAATGGACAAAGTATTAATAGGATACAGATCTTAAAGAATAGATAGGAAGAAAGAAGTAGAAAAAACTTTTCAGAAAAAAGGGAACAAAATGAGCAAAGGAGAAAAAAAAAATCAAAAGTGGGCATGGTATGTTTATAAGATAGAAAAGAGAATGAAACTGACCACAATAGTGGTTTTGCTTTTAGAAAAAACAGCTAATAACGTTTATAAAGGCAACGGTGCCATCAGTAACCATTGATCAACAGCACAAAGGAAAAGATGTCACTCTCCTTGTGGTGGAAGAGGGAGTGGGCTTGAGAGTTTTGCTATAGCACATTGGCAAGGGGTTCATGATCCAGAGAACAGATGGGATGACAGAAGCCAACATAAATATTGGTATCCTTTGCTTTTGACTCTACTTAGTATCTCTGGGCAGGACATACAATGCTATCCTTTGAAATGAGACCCTTCCAGATTTTTACGCACCAACTATATGGTGGGGATCTGGTTATAAACTGGGTCAGGGGAGAGAATCCAGACCAGAAAGAGAGCAGTTATGAAGAGAGAGTTTTTTCTCACCCTGGAGCTAAGAACATTAGAGGTGATTTAGGTTGAGCGTGTAGGCCGTTTCTTTCACAGCACAGAACCTCATACAGTATCCCCAAAAGAGCATGGGTATAAAGATTTAATACCAAAAACACCTTAAAACTCTATCCATACCTCAGTTCCTTTTTTGGTGAATGAAATAGCTATCTTCATAAGAGGAGAGACAATTATACATGCAATTATAATTAAAGGGGATAAGCGCTAAATGGAGACATTCTTTTCTGGAGAAAATGATATCTTAAGCATGTTCTGAGACCTGAAAGAGTAATAGGAATTATTTCACTGAGTGGCTGGAGGCAGAGGAAAGAGTGAAGTGTTTCCGTTAGATTTGACTCATTGAATAGCTTCTATATTCCAGGCACTGTGGAAGGCTTCTGGGATACAATTATGAACAAGACCCAGTTCCTACCCTTAGAAACCACAGGGTAAAAAGGAAGAGGTAGCTAAGTAAACAGGCAATTACCATTTAGTGTAATGGATTCTGGAAAGAGGCAAGTACAGGGAACTATTTGGAGAACATAGCAGGGGAGCTCGC